TGTTTCTGTATTGAACATCATTATCATATATTTTCTAAATCGTTCTTTTTTTAAAAAAAATTCTGTTGATTATTCCATAAGTTCAATTGAACATGTTATCAATAGACTTGGTTAAATAAAAGAATAAGTCAACATTTGTTTTTCGAAACTAATGGTGAATGTATCTTCTAATACAATGGATCATTTATTATTCCGTATAATAAATTTATTACTAATATGGGAAAAGACTGTTCAAAAAATAATTTTCTTTGGTAAAACACACACAGACACATAATTGACAACAATTGATAATTTTAATCTATATTCATAATGATAAAAAGTTGAGTAATACTGAGGTTACGAAATAGACAATGAAGTTGTATTTTTGACCATCTTATCAATATTACATAAAACAGCTCAGTGGCATAAAAATTTCAATAAATTAAGTTTGTAAGTATCAGTGCCACGATTGAACTTTATAGGTTCAAATAAATTGAGCATTGGGTAGGTAGTTGTTAATAATCAATATATTTTTTGTTATATCCAAATGAGTAGAAAAATTGTATTTCTGACGTTTTGTGATTTAATGTAAGCCATTTTTCTGAAGAAATGACTTACAAAGGAATATAACAAAATATATATATATATTTATTATTTAAACAGATTGAATGAAACAACAAATGAAAGTTTCATTGTTAAACTGTTCTTTTAGGGTAACTTGTTTTAATTCTTTTTGAGAAATAATCTCATAATAATCAAGTATGCAAAATTAAGCTTTGTTTAGGCAGTCAACACAAGTTAAACCAATGTTGTCCAATTTTCTTGGTTCAATGATTAGAAATAATATCTTCTATAAATATAGAATTTTAGGTGAAGGTTCTCTTCGCCTTAAAACCAGTGGCTATGGTTAAAGCAATTCCAAGTTAAAATATTTAGGAGCTAGGATACTATGAAAATCCGAAGCCTAGTCAATGCAGATTAAATACCTACGATAGTCACAAAGAAATATCATCATGTTAAGCTCTACTCAACTGCTGACTGTATAACGGTATCACTTCATTTCAGCTTGATAGAAACTAAAACAAGAATAATACGAACACGGTTAAGCATTTCAAGAAAACAACCTGAATAGGTGGACAGAAATATGACTTCGTGTCCTTGTATCAGTACATTAAGAACATCTATTATGAGAAAGATCAATAGACGAGACTATCAACCAGGAAACTTTATGGGCAATGACTGACTGACAAAAGACTAATTTGTATGTCCAAATCATATATTTCACTACCCAGTAAGCGTAGAGTTATGAAGCCAATCTTTAAAAAAATGACCGTCGCTACACAAAACCGTACGGCCATTTCGTCCTAATGTAAGACTCTCCAGCAGTGTATACCATCTATTTCGCACGTCGGACTCGAACCCAGTACCATCGGCCTCGCGAGAACGTTTAACCGCCAGACCACTGAATCAGCATTCAGCGGTGTTGATGTCTAGCTACGCATCACTGAAGAGTCCCTTACTAGGATGCAGTCCAATTTTTTCAGGTTTTACTTGTTGATCTAACACCGATCGGTTCATCATCTCAATAAAACTGCATTTGTTCTCTAGTTATTTCGAGTTGTAAGTGGATTTCAAAATATAAACCCTAGATAGATTTAGTAAATGATCCGTTATTTGATGAGGTATTTGGGATATTTCACAAACTTAATTGTTTAAAGTGCAAAGCACCACACAGTTTTGTCACCTTTCGTGCGCAAATAAAATACATTCATACAATCCTGATCCCTTTAAAAAGCAACGGCATCATAAACTAATATACGTTTCCTGATTTATGCTACACTACATTATTCATGGTCAAATAACACTGTTGATTTATCAAATTGTTTGGAACAATAGTGAAGAGGGGAGTTACTAAAATAAATCAGTTGTAGATCTGTTCGTTTTAGGTTCTAACAAATAAATTACACTAAAATTAGAACATTATCAAATAAATGTCTGATTCATTGACATACTTATCTGGATCTCTATCATTAAGTCACATAACTTTTATAATAAAGTAATCTAAGAAATGCTAGTGGATTCCAGCAACTTTTATCAAACCAACAGATACTTGAAAACTCATGCCAATGAGCTTTGAACACTACTGAATAAATTTCGATGATCTAGAATTAATAATTACGCTAACAAAAACTAGTTGCCGTTTAGGGGCTGAATACAAATCTATTCGGCTAATTTAGGTAGCAAGTCGGTTCTTTATGAAAGCAAGATACATTCACTTATGGTAGTAATGAACTAGATGGACTAACAGCTTATAAAATCTTGATTTCTATAATCACACAACCCTTTGCTTAACCTCATGAACAGTAAACCCACAAGAAAACAGGTAGCCTTTAGAACTGATCGTAGACGTGCGGACCAAATATTTATTTAGTTCGAATTCGGAACACTGTTATCCTTTACTATGTGCTGTTGTTAGTACGTCCCTTTTCGTGATGGCTACATTCAGCCTCATAGAAGCTTCGTCGAATATGAAAACGGTGAATGATTGGCAACTGATAAAACTTCCATACAATTACAAGCTTTTGGTAATTTAAACGCCTTGTGACTTCAAAAAAAGCGCCCGTAAACGTTGACAGAAACATTAAAATAAGATGGCTGCGACCAGCTGATTAAACTCAGTAATTTAAACAGGATCGTGTGGTCGTGGTGGGAAAACTCAAAACCTTGTCAATCTTGAATGAGTAATAATTTAACCCATGATGAGTGTTTCGAGATACACGTTAGAAAAGTTATATCCTTCGGTATATTATTAATACTGAATAAAACAGGAATTAATTATTCTCTTTATAGATTACACAATATATCAATGATTGACCCATTTTATATTCCTTTCATTTTTCAACAAGCATTTGCACTGTTAACATTTGTCACCTCTAAAATTCTGTCAACAATGTTCACCTTACACTCAGCGATCTCAAGGTGTGAAATAAATCATAAAGCGGACTCCTGACCTAGTCCGGCATCCGACCTTCAAACATTGGTTCGTTGTTGAGAACCTCAATCCCGTCTTTGGACAATCGAGCAGCACAACTAGCCCTGCTGACACACATTAGGTGTATCTAAAAGCTGGATATATAAATGTACACACAGGAAGTGAGCTGCAATAGTTAATTAACCATCAAGAAGCAATCTCGATGAGCCTACGACAATTATCAACGCAATTATAAATATATGCAACGGTCAAACCCAAGTATAATTGAATAATAAAATCAGATCACCTATTATCAATGGTTTGAAATACCTTTAAGTACACAACTACAGTATTGTGATATATTCTGAACACCTGACGGATAGAAATTAATTTCACGTAACTTGTTCACAAACTATTAAATATAGCTCATTTGTTTGTTTTTTAAAATACATTGGCAATAAGGCTGAAATGATTATTAGCATAAAATATATCGCCCACTAATAAACGACGGTGTTAACAAATCAAAAACTAGTGAATAAGATCTGTAGGAGGAATATGTAATGAAGATAGAACTATGAAGCCAAAAGAGTTTATTTATATCATGAATAAACATACGGCCTATGAAGTATGAGTTCAATGAAGTATGACGAATTGCTTTCATGTGATCTTAGGAATTAAATCTCGTTTATTTATCTATTTACTGATTATATTAACCCCTAAATGCAAATTAATTACTGAATGAACAATGAAAATGTTCCGCATTTCCAGAACATAAAAATATATAAATAAAAAAGGCTAACTACTAACATACGTCTTAATAGTTAAATAACTTTTCAACCATAAACGAAACTAAAGTTTTACACGATAAAATGTCAAGTATGGTTTTTAGGATCTAAGTTATTTGTAAGGGTTTACAAGTCTATGGAGCAAAAATATTAATGTAATTTGAATACTTAATTTCTTGTGCTCTCAGCAGAAATACAAACACATGAAAAGCAGTGGAATAACTTACCAGACAAATACACAGAATAACAAACAAACGTACTAATTCATAAAAAGCACTTTAAATATTGATCAAACAGTCGAAATCACGAGTCTATTCGAATCATGAATATCAGTTCACAATGACAAAGGCAAATGTAGTCACTAGGGCTAGTGTGTGGATCCGGTCATAGACAATCTGTAAAACTAAACGGAATGCGGTAAAAGCTGATTCATGAGGCGACGAAACTTTAGAAAGGATGTGAATCCGGCGGTCATGTTTCTATATTGTGCTACATAGTTGAGCAATATCACACATGATGAAATTATTAAATCCTTCGATGCTGTATCAGCTAGATAAGTGTTTTCTAAACTTTCCTCTCGGAAGCAGATGTCTTTAGGTGTCTATTAACTTCATTTTTTAGTCATTAGAGTGAGAAAGTAATGACTGAAATGGCACAGTATGTATCCGAATAGTTTGAATCCTTGAAGATGTTTTTTCAACGTTAAAATTATGAATAGAGAATTTCAGTCAGTTATTTACACCTTAATAGTTTGGTAGATTGTGTTGCAATTAGACCATGACAAATAGAAATTCATGGTATTATTGTTTTGCTTTAATCAAAAGTGAGACCAGTAGTTAAGGTAGCATTGACTGCATGAATTTCTATGATATAATACATTGTAAATAGTCAGTTAAGGTAGATAACAAGTGACCTAGCGTCATATTACCTTTTGCAGTTTACAGCTTAACTACATACAACTAATTAGTCAACATTGAGCTTTAAAAACGTTTGTTTGCTTATACTCTTAACTATTTCGAATTATTTATGTTGGTTTCACAAAAGTTGTGAATGAATATAGCAGCTGCGCCAATACGCAGTTGCAATTCACACTGGTTCTCAATACCATAATTTTATCCTAATCTCCAAAATTTAATTTAATACGTTATTTAGGATGCAAAGTAATCAGTTATGTGCTAAAAAGGACCAAAGCTCCTATAAAGTTAAGGCCTATAAAAAGCAATACACAACCTAAACTATATAAAACTGAACAATTAAAATATGGAGACATTTCAAGATTAAATTCACTGTTAATCACACTGTTAGATAAATTAACATTGATGAACTAATCTGCCTGGTTTAAATTGTAAGAGGACGTAGGGTATAATAATAAGAAATAAGCTAACATAGTAGAACACCGATTATTCAATCTATACGTTCCCATTACTAAATATGTGAACAAGAGTAAAGTAGAATTATGAGTAATAATAACAAAAGACCAGGCGAGGATTCTCAACAAAAATTATACGCATCCACAATTGCTACAATCAAAATATTAACAGTAAAAAGAAAATCATAGGTAGGAAAATAGAAATTCAGAATTATTGAATGTACTTTAATGTAAAGAAATATGTATTGGAGGAAGAAACAGTTTGGGAGAAAGAGAACAGAATCCAATTACTCTATTATTACTACATACTACCAAAAAAAAGGTTAAATAGTAAGCAAATAATGATTTTTACATCAAAAAATTTATTAGTTCAACAAAAATACTCTACATAGACTACGAAAAAAGAAATCCAATTTCTCTGACACTTCCGCGACTAACAGTCTTTAATATGCAAAAAATATAGCAGGAAAGAAGGAAAACAAAACGGGAAAAATCAACAGGCTGAATGAATATGCAGTACGTAACTACACAGAATTATCATGGAAAGACAGGTGGACGTCTAAAGAAGTATATATACACATTCAATGCTATATTCTACACAATTTGAGTGTTGTACAAAAAAGTTGTAAAATACAGCTAATTTGTCCCATCAAGATATACGGATAAAAAATATTTTGCATAAATCTAACTGAACTAAAATAAATTATTCGATTGAGTGAAATAACGAAAAAGTTTGTATGCAAAAAAGAGAAAATTGTATGAGGAAAGAGTTGTAAGATTATTTATAGCCAATAAGGTTACATAACTCGGATTAACAATGTATAATGGTAACAAGTATAACAAATGTAGTATACAACAAGAAGATTATCAACAAACAGAGGCATTAAAAATTACTCTTCTTTTAGTAAAGTTATGAGATAATACATGAAAATGGCTTATGGTAAATAATACAGTTTTCTCAAAAATATTTAAGTCTTTGCAACATAAAGACAATTACTGACAGAATATTCATCTAAAATCGAGTACTGACTACATATTATAATTGAAGAATGTACGGCGTGGACCATATTTTATACAAATCTGACACATTAAATAATGACAAGAACAAGACCGAAATTTTCTATTAGGTAGAACGTGCAATTGAGCTAAATTATGTGGGATTTGGATTAGACGAAATAGGCACTGGTTTTAATTCTCTAATCTGTTTGATCAAATACTGTTTCTCATCATTGAATTGACCATCATCTGTACGTTCAGTTTGAAAATCTGTCAGAAAGGATAGTAATTTTTCCTGATTACGAAATAGAATCATATGAACAGCTGGTGGCTTGTTTGGATTTGCAACAAACACCTATAAAGATAAAAACTAGAAATTATCCAATGGAAGTATAGAAATAAAAACTCAGTTATGATAATCCGACAGTATCATTATTTTCACCTAATTGATGAAGTCAATTATACCATACATTGTTAATCAGTAAGCTTTTTGACAATAGCTGTCAATATTAGTGCTTAGACTGTTTATAAACCGCTTTTTTATCAAGTTGTTACAATGAATGAATGAAAATGGTATTAGGCAAAAGGAAAAAACGTTGCGATCAACAGAAAAGGCACGCGAAAATGTGTAATTAAAAAATAAGGGGAAAGATTCTACGATGTGGTAAATTATAAACCAAAAATATGTTTCTCATTAATTGGAACATGAATCTGTGAATTTCTGTTGAATTAGTTTTCTGTTAAATAATCTTTAGAAAAATTTCTCACTTCTAGATGTCTACACAGTTATGTCTACAGATTAGTTTGTGTCGAGCGTGATGAGTTCTACATTGAGGAATCGTTTCGTGAAATTTTGACTCATGTCAAGGAACACCCAAGTTATATAAAAAGACATTCTGATAATCCCGTAGAACATAGAAATCTACAAGTCCAATAAGAATACCAGCACATGCTATATTCAATAACCACCAAATCAATATTAAAAATATAAAATAATTGAGTAATGTTTATCCAATTATCATGACAGACCAGTAGTTGAGGTGTTCCATAAAATCTTAAATCCCTTTGCTCTCGATGTAAAGGAAAGCTGTACTACCGATCCAACTTGGACCGTTTATATTTTCCCCACCCATCATCATACATACGGTGATGTCACATAAAAAATTACCTTAACCAAAAACGACGTGAATGACATAATCCAACTTATTTTGATTTTCCTTGAGCTTAATGTTCTATCTTGTTCTTCTTTACTAAATAAACTCATCTCAATGTAATTCGGATATTATCAATGGCGGCCTGCTTGAACATCTGGGCTACTTGTTCCGGTCATCTAGATATTTAAACAAATTATTGTTTCAATACATCATTATGGCTATTAATCGCATAACCTATTCAAGAGCGTTTATGAAAATTGTACAACCTCTCGATGTACAAGTTACAAAAGGCCCAACCAGAGATATCGTGGTTGCTGACGATATGCAGCTTAAAGAATGTACATTACTTAGATACCCACTGACTGGACTGCTAACTTCTAACTGGCGATCACCAAATATTTATCGTCAGGATCGACAAACGAAAACATGTTCAAATATTTTGTGTTGAGAATTCTATAATGTACCAAAAAATATAATATTGAATAAAGCTAATAATAAATATTATTATTATCATCATCAACATCATTTATTTATTCATTTATTTCCTATCTTGAAGAGGAAATTTAAACTAAGTTGGAAAACGTAAGAAACTATGATCTCTACTTACAAATATATCATTATTTTATTATTGATCTTCATTAGGTGTAATAAGTAGGATTTCAGAAAAACAAAACCAATTATTACACTTTAAGCTATTCAATATGTAAACTTGAACATGCACGTACATACGTTTTTTTTTAATTCACATGAAGACATGCAATCGAATAATAAAAGATTTTATATTACAAACACAATTGACATGCAATTCAACTATCCACTCATGTGTAGATGTACTTTTCAGGAGAACCAAAAATGGAACATGTGAAATCTTGATAAATATTGAAGATTCAAGAAGGATGATTTCTAAAATAATATCACACGATAATAAACCAATTTAACAATACACATCATTATCCCATCGTAGACTGAAAGGTGGAATTCAACTTAGAAAAAGTCTACATTTAGACAAGAAAAGCGATTACACAGAGAAATAAATTTTGCATCCACATAAAATTATTCACGATGATAACTACTGTCGGTTTAAATAATGAATCAATAACAGATTAATCTACTGATATCATCGATAAATTATTGCTCTTGAAGTAGACACATGAACTTAATTATGATCCGATGTAAAATTATTCACTTGCTCAAATAAACTAGCATCTTACTAAATAGATATTAGTATATCGTCTAGTTTTCTCTTATTATAGGTAGTAATTGATGTTTACTGACCGATATGGCTACTAGGCAAAACAACCCAATAAAACGACTTACGGTAGTCAGTGCTTAATCGTCGGACTCCAACTGTAGGAAATTTAGGACCAAAATTTAGTGCATATGTAAACTCATCGGTGACATAATCACAACACCAAAGGATTGTCAGAAGTCATAAAATACTATCTAAAATATTTCGTTTACTTTCCACAGTAGACTATTGGGCCAATTGGAAAATCCACCTAACTGATCATATTGAATATAAACCTTATCTACTGTGAGTTTTGTTGATTGCCATAGGTTAAAAAGAATGTAACAATGCAACAGAATAATTAATATTTAAGATTAGTACATTTGATGATAGTATCAATGAACTTTGTTAAAACACGGGAGCTCATGAGTTACCCATGAAAACACTGCCAAAAAACCACAAGACTCTTTTGTCTCGAATTTCAACACGAGTTATACAGGCATAAATTAGAATATTAAGATAAATCGAAACATTTGCTGGAAACAGAATGAGATACCTACAAAGCTGTGATCAATAAGCTGATATGATTTTCACGCCGCACACGAACTAAAATATATAAAACGCTGACTTCGTTCATCAATGCATATTTGTCACACTTCATACAGTTAAACATCCTTCATAAAATGCTGTTTCCACCAATGATACCATGAGATCTTCAAACTTGTGCTATATTACTCGTTTATTACAAACTAACCATTTTAGCAAGAAAGTGAGTTACGAACAATTCGTAAGTTATGTTAGGCTGAAAGAGCAATCACTCAAGCTACTTTGCATAAATATTCATTTACTCATATGATATCTATTAATGAGTCCATAGAATTTTAAGTGAATTAATTAACGAAAAAATACCTGTCGACCTACAATAAATTTATGAAAAACAAATACTTAATATATTTTTTCAAGTTAAACTAACCTTAAAACAATGAAACGCCTCAAAAGCAATTTGCTTTTCTTTACTTTTCAACATATTCATAATGACTTTGAGGTTTTCCGGATCTGCAATATATTTGGTCATTATTGAGATGTTATGCCGATCAAGTAAAAGCTCTCCTAACAACTGGGAATAAGATCATTAAAAAACGGAAATAGAGTTTCACAATTGAACATGAACATAAAATTTCAAATAGAAAAGGAATAGTTATTTTTCTGTGAGTTATGGCTTGTATATGGACTTTCGAAATAATTAGTTTCAGGAAATTGAAAGACGATATTATTGTTGTTAAGGGGGTGTGAATCAAAAATGTAAGTGGGAACATATTTTGAGGAAATTAATCAAATTTTCTCACATTGTATTCTTTATCTGGTTTCGAAAACATTATTAGTCAGTTTTTGATTGGACTTCTAAACATGAATTTCATATATTATACGTTTACTAATTTAATTTCATTGCTCTTTTCGACTGACTGTCGTTAGCATAGATGATCTTTGTAAATATACATCAGGATGAGAAAGAAAAGTTCTGTGAATCAGATAATCCAAATGAGATCTTTTCACCATATTAAAATCATGATTTCATGACTTAACGAGTGTATCTGATTCAACCAAGCATTACACATTTACAATTAAAAGTGACGAGAGAGAAGCTACATATAAAATATGGCCAATATTTTGCAATAAAAATTAAGCTGAAATTGTAAAAGAAGGCAATAGACAGAAGGAATCTATATTTATTGTGAGAAGTTAGTGTTAACGTAATAAATTTACATAACCTTCTATCACCCATTTGCATCGTTCGGTGCAATCTGTATTCTAAACTGTCTTCTCGTCTGGTCCCGAAGTGTTCTGACTACGCCGTGCATTCGCTGCACTGATCTCATCGTCTGATGACTGTTGCAACTTTGACTTCACGCTCCGCTACATACTACTTGTGAGCAGCATCCACTATACAATTACTAAAATTACTTTAAATAAAACAAGCTGACAGGATATTTTCGGCATGTCGATTTAAACTTTTAAGTTATACATTACTAATGTTAAAACACCCCAAGTCTTCATTCAAACCTGTTGACTTCTCAGAAAATTTGTTCACACTGAATCGGACCTCAGAGTTTCCAAGACAACATTTAAAAAAGTATAAAGTAGAATGGAATTCTTCTATACCAATGACTTGGACAAACTGATAAAATGGAATTATAAGAACTTAAATATAGAAAACAATGTTTAGAACATTTAATTATTATCAGCAGAATAGAAATGGGATAATTTGTTGATTAAATTTAGGTGTGCTAATTCGTTAGCTTATTTCCAACCAATTAGTAATAAAGACCAGATTGAGAAGCTGTCATAAGTTTATTATGAGGCTTTTTTTCATTCCAGTATTTTTGAAATATATCATGTTTCCACACATTCTTTTTTTCATCTCGGGTCAATTCTAATGAAGTGATGGAAGAATAACCAGCTTTAGTTCATAATGGTTATATTAAGACAGTCTGCAGAGAAAGCACATATGCCAAACATGACTGATCAAATTTCAGTCAAAATATCAACGGAATAATACAAACCATTTCAAATTGAATTAAAACTCATACCCATTGCACAAGTGAGTGAATATTTGAACTCAATAGCTAAGTGGATAGCATAGTGGCGTTTAATGCAGAAGGTACAAGGTTCCAGACCCGGGTGAACATCAACTTTGAGTGCATGTATATCCAATTGACGAGTCCTAAATACGACGGAATGTGAGTCCTGGATTCCACTGCTAACCATGTTTCATCTATTCTATATATCGCAAAAGTACCCTAAGGACATGAATTTTTCCTAAATATGATTAACTGAACAAGACAACGTTTATAGGTATCATTAACAAGGTTTGATTTGATAATTTCGAAAAAACTGAGCATTGGGTAAACTGTTATAAATAAATAATATATTTGTAATATCCCAATGAGTAGAAGATTAGATTGTCTGACGTTTCGTGACTTAGTGTAAGTCACTTCTTCAGAGGATAAATAACCAAATTAAAATTAATCCAAGTTTAAACTTGGATTAATCGGGGTATTACAAATATATTATTTATTTAAGACAATGTTTAATTTGGCACAAAAGACTTCAGTCTCGAATGGCCACATTTATTAATAAAACAAGGGGGAAGATCAACAAAGCGGCCAATGAGGATAAAGGGAAAATACAGTAATAATTTATACTGAATAGAGAGAACTAACCTTTAATGCTTGCCTTTTTGTGACGTAATTATCTGATAAAATCATATGCATATAGTGGTCAAAAAATACATCATAGTTAGCTGATAGAAAATCTGCTACAAGAGCCTTATGACGAGTAAGCAAATCTTTCAATGTAGCAAAAGCATCTGAGCTCACATCAAATGCTGTGCCTTGTACATGTTCAAATAACTGATAAAATTCTGGTGAACGAAGAACAACTTTGGCTAAAGATTCATGCCGACATGCATCCCGAAGCATCTAGTTACAAAGCAAAAAAATAGAGGAATTATACATGAAATATAAACACACAACTTATCATGAAACTAAAACATCAAACGGATACTAAATATTTTTAAGTCTATTTTGTATATACATGAGTATTTTCAATACCGTCTATTAATTAAAATCAAAAACTACCGAACAATAAATAGTAGCTGATTGCAAAAGGATTAAAGAGACAAATGGAATACATTATATCAACGGATCCTGAATATATATATATAATTAAGAGAAATGAAGAATATTTCATTTAATCACCTTTAACTTCCCTGTCGTAGGCTCTAGTCAGCATCACCTACCCCATTTTGAGCGACTTATAAGTATCATTAACCTACAAACAATGTATTTTAACCTCAAGTACATCAACTTGTACTTATTAAATCGGATAAACGTCAACACTAATATAATGCCTCAATACTTTTTCACAGATTTTATCACGAAACTGATGCGCATAGCTAACCTGCGCCTAAGGCTTATTAGCGTTTCAAACATGTCTTCCCAGATGATTCTATATCACGTATCATTTTTCAGACGCAGGAAATGGGTGGAAAAATAAGGAAGCTTATTTATTACGCCATGTTGCAGGAATCTACGACGCCTTTATCCTTAGCATAACTAAAAACGTTGAATACATATTGCTCATGTTTCTGCTTACTCTTAACATACTACAACAAAGGTGCACATGATAAACTACTGTCAACAACGAATTTCTCCGTTCTTCTCCAAAGAATTTCACATAATATTTTCTAGGTACACCTGAGAAAAGATAAATTTTACTAAAGTGAACAATCTACGATTTATAAATGTATTACTTATTTATAACAATCTACCCAATGCTCAATTTATTCGAAATTATCAAATCAAACCTTGGTAATGATACCTAAAAAATCTATGATTTTTAGAAAATAGAATTCGCTTTGTCTTCAGGAGTATATTTAGCTATAAAAAAATATCCTCAAATATACACAAACTATGTTCTATTTTATGGGGTCTGATTACGGAAGTTGTATTTATCTTTACTTACTATTAACTTAAGTAACACGCCAATTTTTCTCCATTTGATGATACTGATTTTCTCAAAACTACATTTTTCGTGTTTAGAACTCCACTGAAATCGGTATTGTTTCTCTCCCCTTGCTTCTCATTTTGTTAATTACCTCTACCTGTGTCATAAGATGTAGCAAATTGGACCAACATGTATTTATCACAAGTCATACCTCGAATTTCATTAATTAGAAATATATTGTCAGACATCATCTGATTACTACGATAGCTTCAATATATACGGTAGTGAGCCTGTTTTGTAGTATAAATTGTCAATTTAGGTAACACAGCTCCAAATTGATTACTATTGGACTGGAATATACATTCGGTATCATGCACTATATTTTAGGGATTTTAAATCTTTACATCCCATCGCTCAACTCCGCTTGTTTTTGGACACTACTTTCGAACTTTTAACTCTCCGATGGTATTATTATCATCAATTTTATTTCTTTCTTTCACGTGGTGATTTTCGCTTGTGTTTCGATATAAACTTAAACCCATATATATTTTCGTTTACTTCAGTGAATCAGCGGTTAACGTTTTTCCGTCTGCTGGATGGCAATGTTTACTTTCGTGTGACAGAGCCGTTACCTGCTAATACAGATCAATGAAGTAGTTAGATGCATGTACCAAGATATGCAGCTCCGTGAACATATGCCGATCTGTGTATTGAGCTAAGTACCATTTAATATACGAATTGGTACTTTTGATAGGACCTGACTGTCAATCTTTGTAGATGCGTCAGAGTATGGACTTATGACAAGTTGAAAGCGGAGTGTAAAGATTAATGCATTACACCACTCAAGAGGCAGTGGATTAGCTCTAAACAAGATCTAAGGGAAGGACTTTGTATCATTTACCGAAAGTCAAAAGCTATGTAGTATCATTAGTACCAGCAATGTAAAATGGAATTCAGGTTGCTGAATTATATCTGTCTATTAACTCACCAGTGATGAGAAGTCAAACTATTTTGCTTTAGTAGAATTCAAACATTTCAAACAAGCACGAATAATCCAGTATATTTTTAGTTTGTAAGGGTTAATGATATCAATCCACATTATGATTTCTAATAAATTCCCAAAACTCTTAAACTGTAGATACCATGTTTGAACTATTACGTGATAGGAAATCAACAATAATAGAATAATGCAGAACTGATATTTCTGAGATTTTTTCTACATCTGTAGTACTGTGTAAATCGTCCTAACAAGCGTATTGATACCAGTACAACACTAGAATATTCTATTAAACCTGAAAGCTTCAGAATTGAAAAATGATTTCATAAAAACTTTGTTGGGAATAGATATAATTTGTAAATCAACATTTTAAGAATCTAACTATAAGACTTACTGCACCATAGTGTATAGCAGTGTCAGGTTTGGAGTATCCTTGGAGAATAGATATTAGGATTTGCGAGTTAGCCAAAAGATATTGAGCTGCAGGATTATAAGATCCGACCTGTCGCCTCATAATATGACCGAAAAGATCAACGATATGTTTAGAACTCTAAATAAATGAAGCATGTCTAACAAAAAAGAATATACCTCAAACTCGATGGCATCCAAGTTGTTTACGAGAAGTGGCAAAAGATTGAGGTTGATGATTTCATGAGTTACATCTGTTATGATTTCATTTATTCGTGCTCGTTCAGAGTTTGATAATTCTGAATCACGTTCTTTGCCAGTCAATCGAGTATCTGACTTATCCGTCAGCAGCTCCCGAAGAGCAGTCAAAGCCCTTGCTATATCTTCAACAGCTTTTTTCCGCTCTTTGTCGGTTTTGGCACAGTTACTTAAAATCTTAAAAAATTAGTAAATAATACGCTCAGACTTACGATTATGTTCTCATTAACAGTTTGGATTAATTCACGAGGGCTTTTTGGCTTACCAAATAGAGGCATACTTTGAAATGTTGGTGACTAAAAATCAAACACGGATAACAAGTAATCATTAATTTTACTCCGAATCCCAACTGACAATATTGAAATCACAATGATGTGTTGAGGTACATACATGAGGATAAATATATCAAAGTTCTCAGACAGTATCCGAAACAGAAACGAGTTATGAACATGAGCTTTTAATAATATTTGCGCTCATAGACAACAAAGAACCTAGTATTAAGTTATCTCTTAAAGTTATTGAAACTTTCTCAATCACAATGTAAAAAGTAAATGAGTTTGAGTAAGAACGTCATTCGCACTGGAAAACCAAACATACTAAATTTATTTAAAGAGGATCGAATAAATTGAAAAGTGAGAAATTACACATGACTAGTATTCGACTATAGATGTCTTCGAAACATTGCTCGTATATCATGGGACCATCGAGTAAGTAACACAGTTGTTAGGAAACGGGTACTAGGTAAGGATAGCAAATCAATTGATGAAGTGAAACTTCATCAGTTGAGATGGCTGGGACACGTGTTACGTATGCCAAACGACCGACTGCCTCGACGTGCGATGTTCAGTGGTATGGGAGTAGATTGGAAGAAAGCTAGGGGCGGCCAGACCAAAACATGGCTCAAGTCCATGAAGTCACTGACAAGTGGTCTGAGTCATGTTGATAGGTATAGACTACCTGGTTGGGGACCGCGAGATGATAGCAACCGATGGTTAGAGACCCTGAATGACATGGCTCAAAATCGTTTGCAATGGCGCAGGTGCATCCACTCTTTGTGTTCTCCCAAATTCTAATCTTCTGAATTCTTCATGTCCCTTTTTTTCCTCTTTCCAAATTTATTTCACTGAATTATACTCCTTAAATAACATCTCCAAACCCTAATCTTCCCGATCACTGCTTACACTCTTGCTACCTCTACCACTACGGGATTTGGATCGACAACTGCATCTCTGTGTTAAAGTGGTGTGGCAACTCGAACTGATGTACGTACGTACGAAGTTCTACGTTGTTACTGACTGACTGACTGACACATGACTGGGAATTTAGAATAGGTGTCTGAACATGCACCTTTTACTATGGTGAGGTGTTTAGTTGATGTGCGATCAAAAACGCTCGGAAATAATTTACTAAACCAAAGATCAAGGAATACGTCTTGGATGAAAAGTCATTAGGCACGCTTGTGTTTCAAAATCAGGTTTACTCAGAACATTTTATAATCAGATAGAGAACTGCTCTCGCTGACTCGCCGTCGACCCGACCCATACATAGCATAACGACGACAAAGATTGTTCAGATTGGTATAAGTTGCTCTGGCTTTAACTGTATAAAGGCTGATCCTACTAGGCACGTAACCACCAGAACTTCCACACAACTACCTAGATACACGAACTTTCCAACTATCTTTAGTGGCTGCGCACTAAGAGTAGGAGCATACACAAGCTCCTCTCAGTTTTGCAAAAGTGCTTTTCACTTTAATGTAAAATACACACCATACCTACGGATGCTGATTAAAAATTGAAAAGGTGGAGATTGTACAGCTTGAGTATCATCGAATAGTAAGACGATATCATTCGTATGCTCAAGATTTGAAAGTTCCTCCAGGTGATAGACCCATACCACTATTATCTACTTCCGTTTTTTTTCCAGAATTTCAACGATGGTAAAGTTTAGGAGGCAACTCTGTCTAGCTTTCCTGCTCGAAAGAGAACAATGTAGAGAGGTGGTTCCATGCCCTCACCCTGCTCAGGGTGCTTGTACACAGGGCCTTCAAGATGTTAATAAACTTCTCAATAACACCATTCTTTAACAGAAAATTTCAGAGAAGTCCTGTACCAGAAATTGAAGTGTGTCCTGATATCAAGAAACACAACGCTCATAGATCTGCGATGAGTAAGGTGTTTGATATTAGGCTGGAGATGAATATATGATCAATATATCTTCAACCAGAACGAAAACCAGCCCTGTACAACAGAACTGTCTTGACGTTCCTACTGAAAATTCTGATATTAACCTTGCAGGCAGTTGTTTCAAGTTTCAGATGTTCTTCAGTAGTAGGAATGATAACCTTACTTTGACAATCCGTGCCTTTACATTTGCATCAGATCCCACCTGTTTATCTAGAATGCTAAGTACGTGAGCTGTCCTTCATGAACGTCAGTCAGTCAGTAACAACGTAGAACTTCGTACGTACGTACATCAGTTCGAGTTGCCACACCACTTTAACACAGAGATGCAGTTGTCGATCCAAATCCCGTAGTGGTAGAGGTAGTAAGAGTGTAAGCAGTGATCGGGAAGATTAGGGTTTGGAGATGTTATTTAAAGAGTATAATTCAGTGAAATAAATTTGGAAAGAGGAAAAAAAGGGACATGAAGAATTCAGAAGATTAGAATTTGGGAGAACACAAAGAGTGGATGCACCTGCGCCATTGCAAACGATTTTGAGCCATGTCATTCAGGGTCTCTAACCATCGGTTGCTATCATCTCGCGGTCCCCAACCAGGTAGTCTACACCTATCAACATGACTCAAACCACTTGTCAGTGACTTCATGGACTTGAGCCATGTTTTGGTCTGGCCGCCCCTAGCTTTCTTCCAATCTACTCCCATACCACTGAACATCGCAAGTCGAGGCAGTCGGTCGTTGGGCATACGTAACACGTGTCCCAGCCATCTCAACTGATGAAGTTTCACTACTTCATCAATTGATTTGCCATCCTTACCTAGTACCCGTTTCCTAACAATGTATTCCGTCGTAAGAATCCTGTGATGTTGACAATCTTACATACACTGTGGTGTAACACTTTGGTTGAAACTAGTCAGTTAAAATTACAATGGCTGATAAACGCGAACCAATATCTCGGTCGAAACAACCAATAACTTTGGACTACTGTCCACAAAAATGTTTAGTGCTTGGATTCATATGAGTTCGATTGGAAAGCGTTCCACTTCTCTTTTTACTATCCTGGTTTGAGAGCGGACAAATAACTCATCTTTAAATCAGACCGTAGAACAAACTATTGAACTTTCACTCCGTATTTTTGATAACACCACAAGTACATTGTTATCCACTGTCGCTGCTTTATTAGGGTATTTCGCTTCCATCCCTAAATTACTCATGATTAGTACGTATACATGTCTAACTAAAATAAACTCGCTTATCACCATGTTCCTAAAACACTGGGGGTGAGTTTGAGCATTTATAGTCAAAACCCATATACCTATTGAACTCTAGATGAGTGCTTATAACTATGTTGCTGCAATAGCGAGTAGACTATAACGTGCGTGTTTAACCAATAAAGGATGTTTTGAATTTGATCCACCTATTTTGGTATGAAAAGCAGAGTAACTCAACACCCCCCCCAGAAAGAAAACACGAGTTTGGACCGAGCACATCAACCTGCACACTTGGTCATTACTGCCAAGGGGGTGGTAAACCTTAGCATGTATGTGTCATCAGTTGTCACCAGTATTCCAAGCAAAACTTTAATTAGACAAGCGGGCGTATAGAAATTCTAAGAAACTGACCCTCAACACTTAAAACATAAGTTCCAACTTAATAAAAATTTATTTATTTATTTAAACACATAAACATTAGTACAAGGAGGCACCAAATACATATGCGCCACACAAATCAATCGGTTTGTGTAAGGACTGGAATACTACCCGGGCGTCCAGACCGAAGCAGGTAGCTTCCTTAGAGAACCACTCCCTGAACCTTTGACCTTGAAGTCTAATCCACAAGGCAGTGAAGCAACGTTAGATCATGCTCCGGTTTGGGCGCCCGGGTAGTTTTCCAGTCCTTACACAAATCGATTGATTTGTGTGTTGCATATGTATTTGGTGCCTTCTTGTACCAATGACCGTGTCTAGATAAATAATAAACGTTTGCAGGTTCAGTCTCATGGAAGCAGGTGACCAAAAACAAGTTTACACACCATTTGTCCGCTTAGGATCTTGGAGTCCATGCGAACCACTGGTTTGGAATCAGGGTTCCTCAACTCCCCCGGGCGGATCCTCCATGTTTATCGACCAGATTAAACAGCCGGACACTCACTTTTCGCCCCTCACTAATTTCGTTAACACCCCGGTGAGAGGAAATGGGTAGGGCTTCCGTGGGAGTGGATGCGTATGCGTGGCCATGTGAAAGCATTTTGAGGGGAGGAGCTGACTCTCCTCTCCCTCGACCGTACCAGGGCATTTGGGGTTAATCCAACAAAAAACAATACATGATCCGGTTTTAAAGAAGTATTTCATCGCTACGTTTTACACTAAAGTGGTGTGAAAATTCCGTGAAAAAAAAAACAATAAGGATGGACGTTTTAGCAGAAGATTAAAAGAACAGCGAACCACAAGAAGTAGTGATAAAAACGCTTCAAATTCAACAAGAATTGTACAAAATGTTTTATTTGATATGGGTATAGAATAAATTAACTCATTGACTAAGTATCTAAGTATGAGCCATAGTAAGTGCTAACGATACTACTCAACCGCCTAAATCGAAGCACGCGAAGTAGGGTTTGAACTCGGGACGTAACAACCAAACACCTTGGCCAGTAAGCCACTTCTGCGTGATAAATAAAAATAGTAAAACACAGCAATATTTGGAAGTGGTTAGTTTATTTTCATAACTTCATTCTGTAAACATGATTGATACAGTGGATTTCATCACGAAATCGAGTGTAGTTCAAAAAAGAAGCATTGCGAACTGAACACATGACATGGAAACAGGCTGGTTGACACCAAAATTGTGTAGAAGGACGACAACAAGTGTTACTATTACTTATACAAAAGGGACAAGAGGGAACGTACAATTTTCGTTATGAAAACGAAAACGGGGCTGAGCAAAACTACAAACAGAGAACATACAGAATTTATCGCAGGCTAAATAACTTAGTTAACATTGATTATGCATAACGGATTTTAAATCAGCAACAGACTGATGCATAGATTAACCGATTAGCTGGGCAATACAGAAAGATCCAAAGCAACTAAATACGTGGAGCAAAACGTTAAGTTCACTGTAACATGAAACGAATAGTTCATTTAACAGGGACTGAGTTATTCACATGGCTGGGGAAACATTTTAAGACAGATATATGAAACACATCTGCAGAGACAACTTTGCCAGATCACCGTAACCTTACTAGCTACAGGATGTCCACTTGTATAAATGAACTACGTGAACTAACCTCTGCGACACTATAAAATAATCCATGGATACATTTAAATATCAGCAATACTAGCAAACTAGTAAATAAGTGGTCGGAATAATTACCAGACTCGTTAACCAAGTAGATGTTAAGTATTCATCATATTCAGACATTATACTAGAACCCGGTGGGGGGAAACGAGTTGTTAAACCCATCGTTACTCAAATATCAGACGGAGTGGATTCCTCTTGGTACATAAGACTACATATTGGATGTCTTTACGCACTGCAACAGGAAAATTTAATCCGAAAATACGTGTCGACGATTCGAATGTTGTAATATGTTACAGACTAGAGACTTTAGTCAGGAATAATGAGCAAATAAAAAACCCGAGTCTGTTTCAGGGTTCTGATTTTTCTGTACTAAGTTACTATCTCAGAATTTTTAGCAAAAGATTTGTACGTTAAACTTTTGTGACAGTGCAAAACGAAATACTAGCGTTATTATATTTCAAAACCAAGGATAACTAAGCATGAACTGAAACAATTAACTTTCTGTGCCTAATTTATAAAGTTATTTAAAGGTGAGTCTTACTTGCAAAGAAACTCAAAACTCTGGAAGATGGAGATAGGAAACACGAGAATGTGCCCAGCCTCCCTCAGCCAGATAATCCCGCCCTTATGACCTGCTCATTATAAGCTCACATCTTAAACGTTCCAAACAAAAATTTTGATAAGGTATGGAGGTGATGTCTGTGTGAGATACTCTAAGAACCCATACACTCTCCTAACAACTGAAATTTAGTATGTACTCTGTGTTCTATCTCCTTAGGCTAGTCTGCCTTATTTCTAAACTTCAGTGATAAGGATAGTGTAGTAGTAAATAGATTCCCAATCTATATATTTTCATATGTCCTCGATCTTGGTTCCGACCAAATTTGTTTTGCTGAACACACCCTAGCGAAAGGTTCTTGATCGCTGCATCAGATCACAAGTGAGCACGCTATGCTACTCATCAGCAACTACTAATCAGCTTAGACCAAACACTTATTGACATATAGATAGCTTTCCAAACACATTTTCAAACTCCTTCGTTTCTAACTTCTTATTGGACTGGGTTGGAATCCTTCAATTATAAAGTATTACGTGTGTAGTGGATACATGTGGCATCTTTACGTGTAAAGGCACTGTCAAACTTATGTCATCTTTAGTGGTAAGCCCGGCGTGGCCGGTTACATAGCTTGTGACGTCATATTTGGTTCCTTTAACTTTTATTTTTACATACAGTGGTATCGCTTTTTTCATTTCGGGTTTTCTCGCACATTTGTATATTTTATATTCATTATAAAGGAACAGATACCCAAACTATTTAAGATTAGAACTCTTTCGCCTACCAGCTTCCAACTCTTGCTATTCTGGCCCAATAATATCGAAGCCTGGTTCTGTTATGCAGCTGACTTCCAAAAACATGGTTTGACATACACACCTGCACAATTTCTGGAAGAAGTGAAGGCACCACAGAGCGATTTTACTAAGTAAGTCACACCTAGTGTGATGTTTCTGAATCTTACAATACTCTGAAGAAGGCTATCCTTAATCGTTTTGACCTAACCAACCAAAAAAGTTCAGATCAGCTTCTCCACAACATCAAGTTGCTACACGGCCCAGTAACAGAAGTGTTATTACGGATGCTAGAGGTCATTGACCAGCGGGCCCTTGACGAGGACCTGCTCAGACAACTCTTCTTGTCTCAGCTCCCTCAACAGGTGCAGACTGTTCTTGTCTCATTTCAAATTAACTCCATAGAAGGACTGGCTGCATCCGTCAACTGGATTCCAGAGATCACCAGAACCCAGAGCACCGAGGTTTTTGTCAAATAATAACCTCGAACGACAGTAAATGATGTTACACACCTCTGTCAAACTCTCATTCGTTATTTTAATATTCATCATAATCGCAGAGGCTCACAAACTACTCGAAGAAGCCCATCACGAAAATGATCTCTTTCTAGATTACGCGAGGCAGATAATCCTGACTGATGGTTGTACTAAAATAAGTATTGTAAGTCTTCTCGAAACTGCTGGAACTTCTGCATTTTCCCCAACCTCAAACCCTCCATCACGAAAAACCTTCCAAGAAACTTCCCCTAGGTACGCGTCAACAGCTATCTATCATACATCAATGTGATGATGAAACTCCGGTCTTCGACTGACAGGCGGTAAATGGGAATCCAATTGTCACTTAAATTAACATGTATGTTTAACTTAACGTAGGTTTACTCGAATCTATTCACTACATCGCCGTGGTCTCAGACATGTTAGTGTCAACTATTCGTATAGGCCTGACACAGCATTATAGCCTTCTCATCATCACAAGTAAACTGAAGTTAATAGGCGAAAATACTAAATTATCTATTTGTGGAGCTACACTTTCTGGTTGTAGGCTATGACCATCAAATCAAATCCCCATGGTCGTAAACGACATTCCTAAAAGGCCTGTCATCACCCCTTTCGCAATCCGTGAATTTCCATCCAGCCCTTTCAGTTTAAGAAGTGCCGCACAAATTTTTCAGAGATTCATCGATGATGTATTGAAAGTCTGAAAGTCGTGCAAGCGTATGTAGATGACTAAATTATTGAAAGTCCAGACAGAAAGTCTTATCTCCATCATCCTAACCTTGTTGTCGAACGACTGCGAAAACACTGCATTACTGTAAACATTCATAAATATATGATCAGAACTGACCCTCTGAACTTTCTCGGAAACACTATTCTCCCTCTGAAAAACAAAGTGACGACCATTCTGTATCACTCAGAACCGATCACAGCCAGTCAGTCACTCACGTTCGATGGCCTGATTAGTTTTCATAGGCGATTCATATAAAATGTGGCGTCCTACAAACCAACTTCGTGAAAGTTCAAAAAATTTCAGTTCAGATGGCATTACGAAAAAGCATTCTCCACAGTTAAGTCAGCTATCACAAGAGCAACTATGCTCGCACACCATGACACCAAAGCACCCAGTAGTATTGCGACAGACGCATCCGACTCGGAAATCAGAGGAGGTTTACAAAACTGGGTCAATAACAACTAGCAACCTCTGGAATTATTCTTAAGACAGTTGCAAGTCACTGAATTTAGAAACAGCACATTCAGCAGAGAACTTCTGGCCATTAATTGTACTGTACCCTACCTTCAACACCATAGAAGGCCGGAAATTCACTCTGAATGACAATAGGCCTTTCATTTCTCTTAGATCGTCTTCCGAAAAGTAATAATAACAATAGTATATTTCTGCCAGGACAGATACATGCCATTGTTTTAGATGGTGGTTGGAGGTAGTCAACAGGAAACCCTGGACCCGGGTTTCGTGTTGACTACCTCCAACCACCATCTAAATCTCAATACATAGTGCCCGCAGTGTCGAGTCACCTAGACTGGTGGCCACATTGCAACATGATCGATAGCATTGGATCTGCACTAATAAGGACTAGACAAGCAAGACATTGATCACCAATTAGTGATCAATCAATTGTAACATGCCATTGTTACAGGCATAATCTGCAAATTGCCATATTTGTTGGCTCATAGTATGCTTTCCAAGTGGGATTGTTAAATAGATAAAACCAACAAAAGTGAATAACAGTTCATTCGTTCAAATGTCTTGGAACGTTAGTGATTAGGTCTGCGCTTTCGTATGACATTGAGTACAGTCTTTAAAAATATATTTCTAAAGTGGCATCGCGTTCACCTTGCAAAACAAATTCGAACTCGGCACAATTGTGTTAGAATCCTGGCCGTGCTAATTATTTATGCGATACAACTTTTTAAGTTTATAGTTATTACAAAGTAGATTTGTCGAGTGTTTGATGTGAACTATGACCTTGAAAATACACGTACGTCGAATTTCTTCAAAACTTCAGAAGCTCTATCGCTATGCCCTAAGAGCAAGATTCTGAAAAACGAGAGAAACGAAGAAAGAACAAGGCAATTGGATATGAATGCTAAACAATGCTCAACATGTTGTAGTGGGAAAGACAGAGGTATGATAAATTATTAGATTCAGGCTGTTATTGCATATCAGCTACGCCCTGACCACGATTCACGGAATTTTGAGTCCAACACATAAATCGGGGAATAATTGAGTATTTTATATGAACGATACCTTCTTGGTTGACAACTGAGGTTATGTAGAAGTATTTTAACATGCAAATTTACCTGTAGGCGACAAAATAATAGTACGTTTCACTTATTGTGACGCAGAATACTGTTCTGAGACCAGAGATGGGCAATCAAGTTTGGAAGACCCTTGCTGTTTTATCTACGTCAAAGTCGAACATTAACAAATTGACTAGTTGTGTGGGATTTATATTGGCGACGGTCTCTTCGTTTAGCGTAAATTCGTATCAATCAAAAGTAGGCTGACTGTAGAAAGATTCATTCGATGAAATGTAATTAAAAAGATGCAGGGATAAGAGTTCAGAGTTGTATACTTTTTTATCTCATGTAGATTTGTAGCGTCATTGAACCATAACCACACAATCTTCAAAACTGAATACGAGATTGCTCGGAAAATAAATATTCAATATTTAAAGCGGAGAAACACCTAACGATGGAGAAGGCGCGATCAAGGTATTGGATGAATTAGAGTTGATCGAATGGCATGACTCGGTCATGCAGGCGCGGTCCCTGCTGAATGTTACCTTATATCTTCTATTCATATCAAATATATTATTCTTTCTCTAGCCTAACCTTGTTGTACATCATGTATTGGTAATTGGTACGATACAGCGAGTTGGTGTAGTCGATGGTGTGACTTCTACGTAAGATCTTATAGATCAGGGAGTTATATCATGACAAATCTACAATTTTAGGATTAGGTTTATTATTAGAGCAGTACTAATATCATAGTAGACCATAGTTCTACAGATACACCGTTACCTATAAATCCTATTGTCGAATGACGAATAGATGTTTGGGGACTTGGCTAATGTTGACCAGCTTCAATGTGAGAAATAATTTCAGCATCCAGATGAGAAAACCGTTATTCTGCTCAAACGGTGAATATCATGTCACCCGTCAACAAATAACCTGGTTGTTCTACTCTCCTTCAATTATAGATGGGTGGTTTGACTTTAGTTTAGACTCCACTGAAGAAAGAAACGGGTCTGGTCACCATACTGGGTGTGCTATGCACGAAAGTTTTAAGATCATATGACTTCAGAAACGTCACGGATAATTTAAGCAACCACACCATTATAACTCACCACAGAATGGATTGAGACAAATAACAGCCAAAAAATTAGCTTATTATTTCGATTTCAGTCTATAAATACAAATACGCTGGTAGAAGCATTCTACAAGTCGAAGATATGATGTAACGTGCTGAACTTGAATATGTAGTTTCGCACAAGAGTAATCGAGCAGTCCGGTACACTGAATGATCGCCCTAATACAAATATAAGAACAGATGAACGGTAGTAAATTAGCAGCATAAAATATGAGTTCAGGATAATGGTCTTAGTTGGTATAAGTGCATATATCTATGTTACTAGTATAGTAGACCTAATTTAAAATTTTAGACTTGCTGTAATGTGATTATTCAATCTAAAAGGCCTAAACCGAAAGTCATATCATTGTTTATAATGACTCGTCCAATCATGACATTCAGTAATATGCTCTTCAGAGCTTCTGAAGAACATTTTTGGGCTGCGTATAGAGCAATATATATTTATTATGGAAAAGACAAAATTACTTAAAATGGCCGCGCCTGCAAAGCGAAGCCGTGCCATACAAATAAAGTGACCACGCGTTTGCCAGTTC